CATCACTCCGCACGACGTCTAAGGACTGACGGACTGCCACCCCAGAAAGACCCCCAGTCAACCACCTCAAGTGATCGGCATCTATGGCAGTCCCATTAGTCGTGTCTGGGACTTTTCTGTTCCCCTCCAGTCTCCTTCGAAGGGAAAATCGAGATGCTTCCAGCTCTCCCTCCGCGCTCGGACGGGGACGTCAACGGCCGCCTTGAGGAGGACTGCTCGACTGCCCCCGGCAGGACACACCTGCAAAGCACGGGCCAGGTGGAGAGTGATTTGGATGGTAGCAGCTGTAGAAGTCCTAAATTAGATTAGTTAATCCTAGCTGGATTAAACATTTACATAATCCTTTCTTTTGGACCATTTGAAGGTCCTAGGTGCTTCGGAGTTCCTGCGGAGAAGTCTTCACAAGTGCTTCATGATGCTGGAATATGTCGGACTCGTTGATGAATAAGAACTCCCCTGGGACCCCTACCAGAACAGTTTCACAAGTCGTTGGGCCATTGGGGAGTTTGATTCATCAAAAGTCAAGATGCGTCTTTGGTGGTACTTGCCATGGCCTCCAACCTAATAGCAAAAGGAACCTAATAGGAATGACTGAATGACCTCCAACTTAGAAGCGATGGCCTCCAACCTAATTACTTGCGATGGCGTCCAATGTAGGATGCGGTAGGTGCTTTTGGACCCTTCTGATCTTTTCCGAACAACCACTGGCCGTTTTAGATCAGTGTGCCACCCCTGCTGCGGTGTGGAGTATCACCTGCAGCCGTCTTTCCCAGTTGTCTTTTTTGCCATATGAAATATCATGAAATGGGGTGGTCTGGACATACCTGAAGAGGTGTCAGATCTTTGACAAAGGGATCTTGTGGCATCTTCTTCAGAAATTGAGCAGGAGGTGCCCTCTGAAAGAAGTCAAGGTCATCCAGTGATCAAACTTGTGTGGCTGAGAACTGAGGCGTTGGAGGATGGAAGGTGTTGGGGGGATGGGCCTCTAAAGGCACATGCCGCTGGAAGGCAACTGAAAGCTCATCTCTCACCCTGGGCCCCTGTAGGATGGACCTCTGGCCCTGAGAGATGGACCCCTACAGCCTTGGGGGATGGACCTCTGACGAACGGACAGCCTTGGCCGCCCTTCTCCGCTGAACGGACCTCGACGTCACCAGTCCCGTCCCGTCGGTTCACCGTTGAGGGGTCGCAGAAGGTCCCCCAAGGCACGAGGTCATGCGATGATGAAGGGGCTTCAGCGGCTTTTTGGGGAAACCCCGTTGGAAAACTCATCCCCCAAAACGATGAGTTTCCTCTCACCAAAAAAGACCGATGAGTGTTCTGCAGATGTTCCCCTTCAACATCGTAAATCCAATTTTGGGAATGATCTCTGGATCTTGCAACGACGTCAGCCCCCTCTACTCTACTCCCATCTCGTCCTGCCTGGCAAGCAAAGGCCAGCCAGGCCAGTGCTGGGCCCCGGATAGGCGGTATTTAAGGCCTCCACTGGTGAGGTGCAGCTGACCAATTTGGATAGCTACCAGAAAGAAAGTGGGGCAAAACACCGTAGATCCGGCTGTTTTTGTGGGTTCGGAAGGGGTAAGAAGGAGTCAGGATGAGTCAGGCCTTGAACCCTTGCCATTTGTTCAAAGTGGAAAATGTCCCAAGTAACACACCACACCATCAAGTGCAGATACGTTCTTCAGGAAGCTGTCAAGGCAACTTTGCCCCACCACGACACCCCCAGCAGTGAGAAACCTCAGGCAGGAGTGCAACTTCTGAGGTTCCACGAAGTGCGTGATCGACATAAACCCATCATGTTTAAGGCCCTGGACAGCCGCATGAATCCCAGAAATCACCCACTTGGATGGTCAACAAGACCCGGAGAACCTTTCTTTTGGTCTTTGAAAGCTAGGGTCTAATCAGTCTAATCACACCCTGGAGCATCCTGCCTGGGTGTGCTATAGAGATCAGGGTGTAGTCCAGCCAGGACACCCAGCGCACGGGTCGGCCGTAAGACCCGCTGGGCAGACTGAGCCGTTCACCCACCGGCCATGGCTCCATGGGTTCTTCAAACCTGGAGTCCGCTCTAAAGGTCTCTGAAGGTTCACCCTATAGCGTCTCGGTCGCGTCTCATAGTCTATTTCTGTTTCACCTTGTTACGGTGGAGAAAACGCATTCCGTCTTCTTCACCACAAACCTGCAGCGGAGCGCTTCATGAATTCAGCGCTTCATGCGCATGCGCAGAAAGGCTCCCCAGCGATGGAACACGCGCGCCTGCGATGTCGCAGCTTCCATCACAGCGACACGATGCGACGCTGACGACCTGGGCCCGCGCGGGCGAGACGTGGTGGAGCCCTGACCGGAGCGCGGGAGTGCGGGAGACGTGGTGCCGATCTTGTAGGATAGGGGTGCAGAACATCCACTCACTGGATAGGACCAGAACCCATCCCTTTGTGACTCCTGGTTGGTGATCTTTGTTTGGATATCTTTTAGTGCTTTTTTTTGAGCCTAACACCTGGTGGAAAGTCTTCAAAACAACACACACTACTGGTACTGATTGGGGATGCGCTTACCACTAGAGCTGGTAACCAGTGGTTCCTTAAGACTAAAACCACAGACCGAACACTGCAGTAACTAGGTGAAATCTAATTGGCCGGATGGAAACATGTTCCCACATGTTCCCACGCTAATTAGGAGTCCCAAGTGAATCACTTGGATATCTTGGCACCTTAATCTGATTTAATCTGCATGACCCTACGATTCCAACTACCTCCGTTTCGGTTCGCTGGTTGGGGTGGGTGCCAGGGGGGTCTGTGCCCACCTGAAGATCTGGGCCAGGAGGCCTTCGGGTCCGTCGTTCCGTCCTTCACCCCGAGGTCCCTCTGGGCCACCCGCGCCGTCACCGTCACACATGCGACCCGCACGTTCGACGCAACCCCTGCGCGCACGGGCGCCCGCGCGGAGCAGAGCGGCACGCGCCGTACGAGTACGCGTGGCAGTGGTCGATCGCGCCACGCTGGGGGGCGCAGGAAAGGTCAGTGGTGCTACTTCCTAGCTTCCAATCCCTTGAGGAGGAACTCTCCGTGCAGGCAGTATTTGCAGTTTCAAGAAAAATGGATGACACAGATGACACAAACATCATCAGTTAGATGGAAGAAATGTGTTTTGTGTTCATTTTCAGAACTGGTGACCTGAGTCGGGGTGGAGGGCATCAGTTAGATGAAGAATTCATACAGGGCATACTGTTATGTTGTAGCTGTAGAGTTGTTACTGGTTCCAATTCTCCTTAGAAATGGATCGAAACAAGTCTATAATATAAACAAGGTGTTCAACACCGACACAACGTGCGGAAACACCTAGAACTACCTAGAAATCATGTTGGCTCGAAATCAGGGTTGAGCAAGTTCCTGGCAAGTTTCACAATTCAAGTCAAGAATTTGCCAAGAAGTGGAAAGTCTGTTTATCCATGCAGTGGATGACAAAATCAGGTTTTCTAAGAAAAACAGGGGTGAAACATTTCTGCAACCTCCTTTCCAACATGAGACGAAGATGGTCCAGGAGCATCTCACCACTATTCTTATGTTCTTTCATAGCCGAACAACCTGCCCAAACTCATCCAAACTCCAAACCCACTCCTCTCAGCTCTCCCATCACTCCTTCCCCACGCCTCAAGCCGCCACAGACTCAACTCCCATGAGCGCTGAAACACCGCGCGCCGTGGGAAACCGCGGTCTTGTCGCGGAAATCGCGGGACGTGAAGCTGGCGGTGTGGGAGTTGCTGGGTCGAATGGTGCAAAAGGTCATGAGAGGTCGTGGTGACAGGGCCCCTCAAGGGGATAAGGTGCTGAAAGAGCCTCGGACTTCTTCAAGCTTCATCGCTTCATGCATCGTGATGAACTCACATATCGAAACTGTTTAGTTTACTTGTTCGGCTTGACGGTCAACTTGGGCAAGTCAACCAAAAGCATCCAAAAGCCAAGGATCTTGATGGTCAATACAAGCTGATGAAACCTATCGGACCTATCGTCGATCTCATGCTGCGATACACCCAGCCTTCGAGCTGAGAAGCCCCAAACATGCGGCACTGGCATTGGGCGCGGAAACGCGGAAAAAAAAAAGAGGCGCAAGGCCATCGCTGCTCAAAAGAAACACCACCAGCCAGACTCTGTGTTCTTAGCGGGGCGCCCAACAAGGCATGTCGATGAATATATTGCAGAAGTACAGCGCCATCATCCAAGAATCCTCCATCCTCCCCAGTCCTAGTGGCTCCTGGCGGATCAACCACCCTTTCTGACCAGCTACAAGTACCATTAGCTATAGCTTCGACCCGTTGGTACCTCAGAAAATGGGGTACATGATCCAGGACCTGACCTCACAGAGGTGTCTAATGGACTAGCCTCGTACTCGAGGTGATAAGGGGTGTCCAAAAAAAGGCACCGGACTTGGAAGGTCCTGGATCTATACCTGTTTTGATAGGGTGCTAGAAGCTACGAACGTAGCAGGGGCATCGCTACTAGTAACACGTGCATCGCCTGCTATATAGAAGCTACTTAGGGTACTGGGTCAGTCGGGTCCAGGTCGCTGAGACGTAAGCTGTGCGCTGCTGAGACCGAGTCGCTGAATCCATCGGGGCGGTTGATCACCCAAATGATATAGTCTATAGGGCCGTCCAGGACGGACACCCATTTTCCATGGTCCCTGGTATGTTATAAAGATTGTTTTTTGTATGTTTTTTGTTTTGGGGGGGTTGTTCAAGTGTTCCACCTCGGGCAAGAAGCAAAGACCCCAGAAACGCACAACTCTTGGTGCGGCAGTTCCCATTTGAGCTGTATGATGAAGATTGGTTGATGGGCTACATGGTTGATGGACTCACATGAAGAGCTTGGCCACCTCAAGCATGACCTTTACTTTAGCAAACCTGGTCGTTCCAACATCTACCAACGACCAGTGCCCAGTGCTCCCGAATCCTACCCTGGAAGTGCCGACGCATGACGCCCAGTGCGTGCATTCGCCGGTTTTTCGAGGCTTCATTCGGCTTCTTCCTCCTCTTCAGCCTGAGGCGATGGGGGCCAGGGGGGCTCTGCCTTCGCCTTTGGTCTTCCGAGGCGTTGGAATGTTGTTTTTGTGTTCGACGCAAAAGCGGATGGTGCCAGCAATTGAACCATGCATCCTACTGGCATTGACCATCCATGCACAAATACCGGCACTCTCGGTTGGTTTTTGATCTAGGGTGCATACCTGGTCACACCATGAAACGCGGATCGACTGGAAGGTGGGTGCTGGCCTTTGAATGCCTTTGACATGTATAACTTATATGGGCAGTGTGTATTTAAATAGGGAGACCTCCCAAAGACCTCCTGGAAGAAGGTAAATAAACCAAAAACCATTCCAAGACCCATTGGTTGAGAGTTGAGGGTCGCCGTATTAAAGCACACACCCATATATCCAAGCCAAGCTGGCTCCCACCTTCACCACAGGACCAATATCCAAATCCAAGGCTTTGGCTCAAACACCATGAAAGGATGAAATCATGATGAAAGGACGGTGCCCAACATTTGCATCTCCAATCACCTCCAATCTGCCACCCCCACAAGCCACCTCTACAAACTCTGCAGAACTCTCTGTCTTTGCCACCGCTGTCTTCTCCGCATCGTCTCAGGCGCGCCTCCACCGGCTTCGCAGGGGCCGCGCATTCGGCGGCGGCAGCGGCGGACTCCGAATGGGCGGCCGCTGGGGCAGCGAGGGCAGCTGGTCCTGGTGCGGACGTCGCTTTCTTCGGCTGCGCGGAGTCGACCTCTGTGAGGAGTCCTGCCGGTTTCTGGCAGGAGAACATCTGGGGATCTATGCCGGTGGAAGGTGATCTATGTGTGATTTGACCGACATGTGTTGCTATATCTAGGAAGTGAGAGAAAACCACCTAGACCAAACGGTCCAACAAGTGCGGCTTAGAAGTGAGACCTTCGGACAAAATGGACACAGAAGGTGCTGAGTGGCGATCCTGGATGTGGCTCGATAGAAAACCAGGTTGTCTATAGATCTAAAGCTGTACTGTATAACTGGAGGTCTTTGGAACCATGCACTGGTTACTGGTTATATGATATATATATATGCATCATATGTCTACCTTCCAAAAGTGGAGTGGATCCTTCTTCTGCGGAAGGTGAACCGGTGGACCACAAAACATGTTTAAGCAGCGAACCTGGGCAAATCAACTTCCTTTCAGGTCGGTTCCGCAATCCTCACCAACTCCGCCCGTCGAACAGGCCAGTCGACGCCACGAACGAAAATCGCTAGATGTTGAGAACCTGCATTGTTCAGGTACTCCGTGGCAGCGTTTTCTTTCAGTTCCGTGGACCCACACAGTGGACAGCTGGAATCGAATTGACTGCTGGCCCAACGCTGTTTCCCTACCCCCTCACTCAAGGAAAAAAGGTCACCTCTCCAGGTGCTGAAAATAAAACATCCCGAGCATGGATATCAGGATATGCTCCACCACTCGGTAGAGGCCAGTCTCCCAACCCTCACTCCTGGGTCCGAGCTGCTTCGGGGCGCAGCTTTCTTCTGAGCCTGGTGCCACTCCAGAAAACGCCAAAAACACCACAACCCCGGCAGACTGGAGTGGGATTTGGACCAAGTTAGGAGTGTGGTTCCATAGTATGTGTTGTTCAAAACAAGGCTTTTCGACCACATACTGAATTGCAAAGGAAGAGAAGACCTGTGCGACACACAAGAGCAAACAGGGGCAGCTACTGGCAGAAACTCATAGGATCCATGGGTTGAGTTGGAGGCCTTTAGGGAGGGTTATCTCTTTCCCTATAATACTGTTCTCATCTGTAATCTAGTAAACAAATCACCCCTACAAACCTGGCTCATTGAAAAGCTTATCTTTTGGACTTGGGAATGTGTACTCGGACAGCAACTCATGGGCTAAGTCCTCTGATCAAGCAGCAGCGATCATCTGCAGGAAGGTCTTTTCAGTTGGAGGGTGCAAAGTCAGTTCAACACCCGCGAGGTGTGCGCCAAATCAATGCAATTTGCACTCTGGATCACTCTGGAAGACTAACATGGACCATGGACCCTGAAAACCACTGGCTCGTAGAGGTAAGCAATCTTCCAGGGGGCCAGGATGTCAGGGTCTATTTTAGTTTTCGGGAGTGTAGATCATTCTAGGCAATGAAAATCCCAGCTTTCTTTGGCCACAAAAATTACCTCGACTTGGGGGGGGGGTCCGTCCTTGGCACAAAGCACCGACACCCGTCAGCGCAAGGTCCTGACTTCCTCGAAACGAACAAACATCATGAGAACCTCGAAATGAAGCTCGATCAGTTCCAACAGGTCTCCGAAATGGTGCCTGAAATGGAGACGTATTTTAGTGGCAGGTGGTGACCTGGCGTAGGGCATCCACCTGTTATCCAAAAGAACATCCCATCTTCCGGTCGCCGCACGTCCTCACCGTCGCCGTGCCGCGAACCGGACGGGTCCGCCGCGGAAAGCGCCGCTCTTCTGTGATGCACTGCCAATCGAACCGGCACGGGACTCGCCTCCAGAGCTTTCATTCGATCCAAGTTGCTTTTCACCTCGAAGTGCCCCACGGCACACGTGTCTCGGGTGTCGGATGCGAGGACGCACGGAATCCATATGGCGTCACGCACCCCGAGGCGACGACATGACTGTTGACGGCAGGTGTCGGAGGACGCACCGATGGTGATGAAAAGAACGTCAGGGCTACACTTCGCAAGGGCTTCCAGGCACCGGCTGGTTCTACTCACATGGGTGGGCCATGGAAGTTGACCAAATTGGACATCTGAAGGGCAGCCAGCACATGTTTCTTGGCCGTCTATCCTCCATCCACTGCAACATTCTTCATCAAGACTTGTCTTCCACACTTCTGAATGGTCAATTAAACTTCTTGGACCAATTGAAATATGTTCAGATTCGTCAGATCCCCCAAAGAGTACAATTTCTCAACCCGTATTGAATCGTCCAGCTCGTCCTTTTTTTCCAAAGCCACCGGGTCAAGAGTGCATCTGCGTCCAAGTCGAGGGAGCGTGAGGTCCAAAGCCGAAACATTCACCACTATACCCAGACGCTCTGTATGGACTATTTACATACATTGACCACCCCAAAAGAACCAAATCTAGGCATACGTACTGGATAGTGGAAATGATTATCGGATCCTTTACAATCAAATCTCTGACACTTGAGGGAAACGTCCGCTGGTCCAACCATCTTGGCTCGGGGGAAGTCCGGGATTTTACCGGTGGACTGGCGCTGAAAGGTATGAGGAAGAACATCTGAACATGGATAGAATATACCTGGACCATCCAATCGGTGTCCAATAGACTACCCTGCCCTACTTATGGCCCTCCACCGGGCACCCATTGGAAGTGCTAGGTATAGTTTCTCTTATATTTGTGTCATTTTCTGGCCTTCAGGGGTCAATGAAACCCAAAACAAGGGATCAGAACAACTTGAAACAACCTGCCTCCTTCATCATCTCCTTGTACCTTTCGGCGGCCCGACTGATCTCCTGCAGAAGGAGGCAAAGAAAAGCGAGAAAATGTCTGAGGAATCTGGGGACCCAAACCAGGCATTGGGACTCGAACAGTTTCATACTGTTTCATCCATGTTTCTCCACTTGATGACCTTTCATGTATATTCCAGTCCCATGGGTCCGGAAAGACGGTCGAAGGAAATGACTTCCAAGATCACAGGTCACATGAGGCCGCTCAAAGACTTAGCCGAAATCTCCCAGAAAAAAGATAGATCCACCCCTCAGAAGATCTCAGTATTTTTTGTTCAAATCCCAGTCAGACCAAAAGTATTGTTTATAGTCAATTCCCCACATAATTCCACCTCCTATCATGGAAGAACAACGCGAGTCCGGACGTACAAAAGGGACCGCTGATCTTCAGACCTTGTACGATCTCTTCTCCACCTGGAAGGGGGAGATGTGCTGTCCATGGCAAGTCCAGTGCATTGGATTCGGGTTTCTTCACGGGTTTTGGGGATCTTCACCTGTGGCGAACCTGGTATTTGAACCACAAACATTGGGTCTATCCTAATACCTGTAACAGTGGATCATGATGGTTAGTAAAGGCCTTGTTCAAAAATGATGCCAATTGTTTACTGACTGTTACAGGTAATAGGACAAACCCTACACAAACACCAAGAGGTTTTTCACACCGCAATGGAGTGACAAACACCGCACCATGGGTTCAACCGCTCAAAATCCGGCATCCCAAGCATCCGTCCAATCCGTTACGGACCGATGGACTCCTCAGAGGCATCGCGCAAAGTGTTGTCGCCTAAGCACTCCGCCGCCAACTGCACGGTATCCTTCCACGCCTCGTGTCGGTCACCGGATTCCCGACGACTCCGCCGGGGTGACGCCGTGCGGGTGACGCCGTCCGCCGAAAGAGCGGGGGGTGGACCCAAACGGCCTCCCGGTTGGAGAACATGGCGGTTCTACGAGCGAAACGCCTGGCAGTCCCAGTCAGGTCATGTCTGCGATAGGTGTAACTTGGCCTCATGCCGCTCACTTGGATCGGTCCGCCCGGCTGAGGTCTGCAAGTGACGTTCGTCGTTCCCGCGGGGTGCAAGGGAAGAACCACCAAAGCACTGGTTCCACGAAGAAGCCACACAAAATTCTCTGCAAGTGGACAGTGATCTAGACCCATGATTGCTTGATGATGAAGGAACAACATCCCTTAACATGCAAATCATCACCCAGACTCATCTGTTCTTCAACTTGTTCCTCCCTAGATCATCCAACGGGTCGCCGCCGGCAGACTCGACTGCTTGTGGACCTCCATCCAGGACACCACAAGCACATGATCCTGATCGATACTATATACACTCCCTGGAAGCATCATGGTTTCGTTCAGTGAGTTTACCACCGCCACCCGTGTGGTCTTTTTTCGGATTGAAACTGGTTGAAACTGGTCTTTATCCGTATGCATCGTATACCATAACCATCACCATCGATTCATCGTTAAGGTGTACTCTCGGCACTTTCAGCGCCTTCAAGCACATGTTCTCTTCCACCCCGGTTTTCGTGTTGAAGCAGCGCCCCATTGACGACGCTCTCCGCCTTCTGCAGCGTGGAGGAGGCGCGGCCGTGAAGCGCCCGCAGCGTGGCAAGGGCCTCCGGCTCCTGAAGCAAGTCCTGGCGCTGTGGATTCGCTGCGTAACGAGTCTGTTGAAGCATATACAGCTGCTAAACAGGTGCAAAGTTTTCTAGTCAGTTTGCCGAGGAGTATAATATAAACGTATAGACTTTAAACAAAAATTATATGTTTAATAGTCTAAGTTTATTTAAATTATGCATGTTTATGCTCTTCGAGTAGTGGATCTATGATGTTGGATGCTGATTAGTAATGGGGCCCTCTACCCTATAATGCTAAATGATTGCAATTTAATTCTTGACACCCTGTCTGTCTTACTTGTCCTCTATTATGAAAATTGTTTGGGGGATCCTAATTGTTTATTATCTGAAAAATATTTAGGGTTAATTATATGTCCTTTAGAACAATGAAATGAGTAATTCTTAATACTACTAAGCCAATGGTTGGCTTGCTGAGAGTATTGATAAGT